ATTATTGCTTGAAAATTATTTTTAGAAAGACAACTAAAATTTTTAAGCTAATTCTAACCAAGTATTTGTCTATAAATATTAACATTGTAAACTTATTTGTTACTATAATGTTTACTTTTTTATTTAATAATTTATACAATTTCTGAATTTCATAATATCGTATAATAATGTATTTATAGTTAAATGCATTCCATTTTGTTATTTACAGCATCGTACTATTACCAAAAATAAATAAATAAATAATGTCGGTGTATTAAAAATCCATAAAATAATTATTTTACATTAAAAAAGTTAATAATTTTTTTCCCAAACTTTTTACTTGATTATTCGATCTATATACGTGTTCAACTATAACTTTTTCAAAAATAATTAAAGTCAATAGTGATGATTTAATATATATATATATTTTATTTTATTTTTTATTTTTTTTTAATTTTATTTTTAATTAATTTATTTATTTATTATTTTTTTTTTTAATAACATTCAAGAGGCCACTTTAAAAATAATATGTGATATTATAGCAGACCAAAAAGTTAATTGTAAATTTGGATTCTTCACACTAGCTTGGCATGACCCCAATCAAGTGTCACCTGTTCTCTACCTGCTTTATAAGCATTTGAAACTCGACAGAAAGCATTGATCATATAATTCCATTCAGTGACTAAATAGAGACAATCCTTAAAATACAAAAACAGGCGTGCAAGTCTTCGAATGTTATTCTCGGCTATCTGGGACTACCTTCTCTACTACAGCATCTGCTGGTGCAGATCAGCAGCTTGTTGGGCTAATTCTACCACCATAGCCTCATCGAAGAATTTGTTAATACTTACGTCTTCAGACATACCCTGACAAAAAAACCAATTCAACAACACAAAAGTTAGCGATGACCAAATGATGTGTTTGCTCAAACCATTGGAGCCCTCCAGCTAGGGATCATGCCCGAAAGTTAACACTCTTAAACTCAAAATAAAAAAAAATATATATATATATATACATATATATATGTGTGTGTGTGTGTGTGTGTGTGTGTGTGTGTGTGTGTGTGTGAAACTGACTAAGAGTCCATTTGGCATGACTTTTACTTCCGGTAGAGAGTACTTGGAGGAAACTACCTTAATTTTTGTTTGAAAACTAATTTTTAAAAAAACTCCCTATATAGAAAGTGCTTAAAGCCCTTTTTAACTAGAAGCAACACTTGAGTTCAAAAGCTCCTTCTGACTTTTCAAAAGTTATGCCAAACGGCTCTAATACTCTTCAACAGAAAGTTAGAACAAAAAATGCCACTACAGGTCAAAAAGAAATGATTGGCGGAATTATGACCCTTCACTCAATTCATAAAAGAGCATAATAGCACAATCACGTATTAAATTAGAGACAAACAAAAATAAGAAGCCAATAATGTGGACAGCAAAAATAAAATTATCTTAACATTATGAGCAGAGTGGATAGAGACAAGATTATACCTTACGACGCCTTGTCTTGACCATAAATTCTCGAGCCAAATGTTGGATTGGTGCTGGCTCCAGTGGTCGTAATACAATGCTCTTATCGAGGGGATCTCCAGGGACAATTGCCCAGTGATCAAATACAGAGAGACAAAATGCCTGGCCCTGGGTATGATACCTCAGGTCTGTCTCAAAACCAAATGATTCAATGACTGGTAAAAAGGCCTGAAATTCATGCATAAAAACAGAGATCATTAAATAATTTCTGAAGCAATACATATTCAAGCAAATATCTAGTGGAAAAAAGGATGTAAATTCACAGAGAAGTCACTGTATGAACTGAATTAGGGCAATCAAACCTTAACAATGTAGGCCGGGGTCCCTGGTTGTGGAACATCTGCAGTTACATGCCCACGCCTGCGTGATAAGACTGTGTATATGGCAGAGACACAATCTATTGGTGTTTGAATCTGAAATATCAAATCACCAAGTCCAAATGTAACTTAAACTTGATGGAGAAAGCACTAGTATTGTGCTGTTGCAAATTTTAACCTCAAAACCTCTCTCACTGTACAGGATGTTAAGTTCTAAAATCGACATGGCAATCAATTGCAAAGAAACGTCAATCATCGAAAGAAACATAAAGGTGGACCCATCATTACAAGCAATAAAAAATTAGTTAAACCAAAATTGCATGGGAAATGCAATAAATCCTCGAATAGTTTCTAGATGAAATGTGCAACATATTATCCTGTGGAAAACGATTACCTCAACATAGTACACTGGTTCCATCAGCCGAGGAGTTGCCATGAGAAAAGCTGAATAAGCCACACGGCGGGCTGTTGGAATGATCTGCCCAGTTCCACGATTCAATGGCTCAGGTGCAATCTTTGCATCGACTATTTTGAACTTTACATTTCTAATTGGCTCATCACAGAGAGGTCCTTCTCGAGCTCCCCACTGGAATCTGTCCACAGTATATTACTCATTGCTGGAGGCAGAAATCAATCATGAAGCAAACCAGAATTCATAGATTACATTACCCCTGAACAATTGAATCTTTGACGGCATTCAGCAAGCTCTTATCAACTTCGCTTGAGAGAGTGTCATCTAATAGAATATTAGGTCCCTAAAAATATGTGTGTGTCAATATTGAACAGAAAGATTAATCTTGACAAGTGAAATCAAATACCTAAAATGAAGGGAAAAACAAAGGAATCGAAGCCATTCGTACTAAAGATGTTATTTGAAGACTAAAACCTTAAATAACATATAAACAATATAGGTAAAGCCAGCAATCACATCACCTGCTTATCGGGCCCAAATGCCCAAATGGACCTTGCAGCAAGCAGATCCCAGTCATATTTTGTCTGGAAAAAGTCCCCAAGTTTTTTCCGAGGCCAGTCAATGCTTACCACACCATTCTCAATGTCTTCAGCGAGTCCTCTCTCCAGTGGCTCAGCAATCTAGAGTAATTCACATTAAATAATCAGAAAATCTAAATTAAACTGTACATTCTCACTGTTACAAAATCAACGGTACATCATATAACTTTCTTACCATGGTAATCTTATTCTTCTTGTTAGGCGTTTCAGCAAAACATTTCATAGAAGAGGACTCAACCACCGTTTCACAGAATGATACAACAGGGTCTGCAACCTATATTGATCAATATAGAAGTGCAAAGCAAAAGGAAAAGCATTTAGAAGAGATCAAAATGAGATGGCAAATGTCCAGTTTAAAATACACAAAACAAATTTTTTTGGGGGAAAAAAACAAATTGTGTGAATGTTCACTTTAAATTACAATGCAAATGATAAAAACTCCAAATACCTTTACTTCTACTTCTGAGTAAAGCTCCCTAAGATCCTTCATTATGGAATCCAGGTACAGTTCTCCAGTACCTAAAATGGTATGCTCTCCTGATTCTTCGACCTTTGTAATTGCTAAAGGATAGCTCTTACTGATCTTCCTAAGACCCTCCACCATTTTTGGCAACTCACTTGGATTTAAAGGCTCGGTAGCTGTTTTCACCACAGGGAGAGTGTTGAATTGAAGGGGTCGGAATATGTACACATCCTCATCATACTCCATATTACAAAGTGTAGCTGTTTTCATAATTGAAGCATCTACACCTTCAATGAGAACCCAAGAACCAGGAGGGGCTCTGCTTACAGGTATCCTATAACGAGCTTGATAAACCCATAGTTTTGTAACTTCTTTCATGGTCATGTCCTCCTCATCATCTGGAGAATAGCCTTCTCCCAAAACCTTTACAGTCTGACCTGTCATAATTTCACCACTGTACACCCTACCAAAAGCATCAAAAACACTGCAATCAGATTTAGGATACAGTTTGGTCACGTTAACCATTAGAGGACCAGAAGGATCACAATCTTCCATAGCCTGGTAAATTGTGGAATCCTTAGGCCCAGTATATATATGCTCAATCTTCCGTGCTGCTGCTGCTTTAGCAGATGGAATGTGTTGAACTAGCATGTCAGTGAAACCTGTGGCAGTCCCAAAAACTGAACTACATGCCAACCTAAGCAGAGGCCTAACATTTAACCGATAAGCTGCATTGCTGAGAGTCACTCCAAGTTCTGAAAGAGTTGCCTCCACACTCTTCTTATGTTCTCCAATCACTTGGCTGTAGATTTTATAAAGAGGTTCGAGCACAAACTGGACAAAAGATCTTTCTACTCCAGTTGCAGGTGGTTTCTTCTTGAAACTTCTGGTATCAGGATCAAAGTAATAATCACCCCAAAGACGAGAAGCAAACTTATTAGCATCAAAAGGAATGCCATGGAGTTTGACATATAGTTTCGCAAATGACTGCAGTGTGAAAGACCATCCTGCACTGGCACTCGCAAAACAAACATTTCCAAGAACTGGATCAACAACTTGGACCTTTCCAGCAGTTGAAGAGGAAGCAGTTATGTGGTTATTGATAACTTCGATAGTGTGCCTTATCTTATGGTAAGCATCCTTTGGGGGCAATTTCAGTTCAGTTATCAACCTGTCAACCTGCTTATAAAATATTAAATGAGTATACATTAAAGAGACAAGATCCCTGAATGCAATTATTTTCACATGGAAAGCTCCATGAGCATCAAAAACATTGGGTGAATTAAAAAATTACCTTGTTAATCACAACAACTATTGGAAGGCGCTCTTGAATTGCATGGCGAATAGCCCTCTCTGTGTTTACCTGTGGAAGCAGAAAATTTATTAACATCAACCATCCACCTGCATTTATCATGAAACTACAGGTGGCACTTGTAAAGCATTAACAAACTGTTAAAAAACAATTGATATGTGAAACATCAAACAGACGTAGCATATCAGCTAATAGGCACTGTGCAGTGCCTGACATGAACGAAACCAGCTTTCAAGGAGGACAAGATGGTTTGGACTGACCTTTCCCAATTTACTCCCCAGCAATGGAGCAGAAATATATCAAGGAAAAGTTTAAGCCAAATTAAACAAAGTGTACTTCTTGTTATCACTTTGGATCCAGAAAGATAAAGGTCAGCTATAACTTCAGTTTTTATGGTTTAAGTAGGCGAAATGATTAAAAAAAAATTCATTCAATTGTGTAGCTGTCACTGTGTTGTCAAAGGTGGCAAGATCTTAAAGCTCACGAATTTGGATGTCATTTTCTATAATACTCCCCTGTAAACAAATTGTTGTGATAGTTTGCAAAAAGCTATCAACACCATAAAGGTTGAGACGGGTGAAATGAATAAACAATAAGAAGGCAATTGCTTGGAAGCACCAAAGTAAAGAGAATATGGGCAGAAGTCTTCTTTCAAGAAGTTCATCAACTTCTTCAACTTGTAACACAAACTAGTCCTAGAATATTTTTTCATCTTTCATTTTCAACTCCTTGTTCTATCTTTTCACGACAGCTAAGATGATTATGGAGGGTAGTGAAATAAGGCAAGGGTTTTATTAGAGTTTTGGTGTGTATTTGAAGATATAGCAGAATGACACGAGAAAGAGAACGAAAAGAAGAATAATGAGTTGAACAGAGGTCTACTTGGTCAAGTAAGCATTTTATAACAAGGTGGTATACTTGTAATTGTACACTTCTTTAAGAAAAAGGCCCTTTGGCAAAAATTTCGAAGTAATGCCCCTTTTTAAAAAGATTTGCTTACATAATAGTAGCCATAGGTAGCAAAATACAATTTACAGCAAGATAAGGCTAATAGAACACATGATTTGACACAAGACGACACACGGAATGTGCTAAATAAGAAGTCTTAGTAGTAGCATTCCTGTTGTTCTCACTACATAAAAACTAAGGTTAAAATACTCCCCTTGCAAGAAATTGTAAAATAGTACAGTTTTATGAATAACTTAATAGTTGAGATGGCTGCAAAAGCATGCTGGAGGGTGGCACAATTGAGCCCCTGTTTGTCATCCTTTAACAAATTAAATTGTTTACTATAGTAACATTTTTTACCATACGTTCACATAATAAAATATTCTACACACAAACCAATAAAGTTTCTTTAAATTTCGACCACACATTTTTCAAAAAATACTATTCAAAACTTTAGATTTTCTCCCATAATGGGAGACAAGCAGGCTCTCAATTGACTACAACATACAGCTAATAGAGTACATGATTTGACACAAGACTACAGATAATCTTGCTAAATGTGAAGTCATAGTAGTAGGCGCAGCATTTCCACAAGTACGCACAGTTCTCACAACACAAAAACCAAGGCATGCAGATAAATAAACTGAATTAAATCTTACCATTACTCCTTCTGCAGCATCCACAATTAACACTGCACCATCAGCAAGCCTAAGAGCAGCAGTCATTTCATCTGAAAAGTTAACATGACCAGGAGTATCCATGATGTTGCAAAGGTAAGATTTTGAACAACTATCCTCGAGAACGAGCGACATAGGAACTGCCTTAATAGATATCTTCCTCTCCTGCTCATCTATCCTTGTATCCGTGTACCGCATATGCTTCTCACTATCCTGATCAAAAGTCGAAATATGATGTGTCTGCTCCACCAACATGTCCATAAATACTGTCTTTCCATGATGTAAGTGGCCCACCAAAGCAACATTTCGAACCAGTGTTGGATTTGACATGAGACCCAAAAGGAACTGTGTTGATACATAGGTTGATGAGTCCTTAACCCCTAACTCAAACTTTAGATTCTTGACAGGTTTAATGATGGGTTGCTCCAACGGCTGCTCATCTTCATCCATGACTAACGTCTCAACTTCCTCACCATAAACCTCCTCAGCAGTTGGGTAGTACTTCTTGTCCTCAGCGAGGACGATTTGATTATCCATATCAACATCATCAGTAGTTGTCAGCCAACCATTCGGTTTCCCAGGAGTGTGCTCATCATCAGACATGGGCCTCGCATCATCAGCTCTTTCCTCAAGTTCCTCATCTTCCTCCTCCCTATCACTCTCCTGGTCAGACTCGATTTCTGGTCCAATGTAGTTACCAAACTCATCATATAAACTCTCGTCCATGGACCCACAAAATCTGCCATCAAGTAATGTTTATTGAGAATGGGTTACAAAATCTACAAGTTAGTGATATATCAAATACAGCCCAAGCAACAGCGTCAATTAATTATTTTAGCAAAAATGAGAAATCCCTCGTCTTGCAACATAAAATTATTGCTTTCAGAAACCTAAACAGCTCATGCTTAAGCTTGAGATTTTTTCGGACAAGGGAAGAAAATCAGAATGGATAAGAGACTCGCTGAAGTAACAATATGGATTCATTCTAATAACCCCCCGTTTAAATTTCTTGTTCAAATAACAAAAATTTCTCATAAAGTATGACAAAAAGGATTCACAATTTTAAGCCAATATATACATATATTACACACATAAATAAATCATATAAAGCAGTAAGGCCACAAACAAATTTATATTGTATTATTGCATTAAAAACTAAAGTCTTCAGCTTTATCAAGCTGTCAAAGTACACTACTATAAACAACGGAACTAAAATTTTAATTTAGTTAGAGTGGGTTAAAATTACTTCGAAATGACAAGTAAATTGCATTTCAACTCCAGATGCAGAACTTACTTTGAGACTAACCAGCATATATGTACTTAATTTAAGACATTTTTAGATAACGTCTGTTGTTTCTAAATTTTAAGATAAATAATTGCATACATCTCCAAATATTGAAAGGAAAAAAAAAACACTAAAGAATTTACATTCTCAAACAATTTAAATCAATATTGGCTATTGCACACCTTCTTTACTAAAATATTTAAGGTCCAAACACATATTGCAAAAAGAAAATGAAGAAATTATTTTTGTATAGTTAATTTGAAGGAACAATAATACGAATCAATAAATATAAGTAAACAACCGCACACAAAAATTTACACAATGAGCTTTACGTATAATAAGAATCTATTGCCCGAAGAGAGAAGAATCTACATTTATGTAGTGAGATGTGAGAACAGTGAACGAGATACAGAGCGGCGTCCAGAGTGTGCTTTGAGCTTAGGGGCTGCGTGAGGGCATGGAGGGAGAGGTTTTTCCACTATATTGTATAGTCTGGCGGTGGATTAGAAGCGATGAAGCGGACGGCGTCGTATTGACTTTGGCCAAATGTTTCAAAAATTTCACAAATGGTCACCAAAGTTCAACACAAATTTCGATTTAGTAACTGAAGATATATACCAGTTATATGGGTAGACCACGTCCCTCAAGTAATTGGGCCAAAATAGTGTATCCATTTGTAGATTCCAGCCCATTGGCCCAGCTTATCCTTCATGGGCCTAAGGGAGACACGGAAAACGCGTTTCCAAACGGGCCATGAAAGTTACCAGCTTCCTCTGCTAAGCGAATGGCTGGAGCTGATGATGAACACCGTTAACTTTTCTTGATTCAGTTTTGAAATCTTGTCTTATAAACCAAAAAGATACATAGTTGAGAATAGTGGGAAATGGATTACAGAAGAATTAAGGATCAGGTGCCTTTTCTTCTTCAAGTCGATTTTCTGCTCTGATTTAGTATCGTGTATCCATGTCACTTTTAATTTGTTGGAATGCAATAATTGCAACATAATTGATCGTTGTATTCTTGAATGCCTGTTTTATTGTATCTCTTATTTTGAAAAAGTTAAATTCATTGTCAATTATTTGTTCAAGTTTTTTTTTTTTTTTTCAATGGAAATTCTGCTTACTGTTTGCTGTTTTTGCTCTTTGAATACCCCTCTTATTTTTATTTTTAATTTTTTTCCTAAACCCTTGTTTTTATACATGCAAATCCATCTGAATTCTTGCTTGTTTTTGGTTCCTGAATGCCGATTCAAGAATAAAGAACATGATGCAGTTCATGATGATATCGAGACCTCAAGAGGGAAACCCCTTTCAGGTGCCATATTTCTGTCTATTCTTAAACCTGTTGCTGAGTCACATGAATCCCTGACTCCGTTTTTTTCCGAAGGCCTGCTTTTTTTTGGATCTCACACTGCTTTTCAATTACAGGATCAGCTAATAGTATGGTCATGTTGGGGGGCAACTCCAGTGTCCAGTCTAAGTGGAAGCGCAAGTATGAATGTCTTTCAATTCTATTACATGTCTAGAGCTATAATAATTGGAGGGGTAAGGGGAAGTATCTTCACCTTATTTCTATCTTTCCGCTGATGATCAAAATAGGTCAGCAGTAACACTTGCATTGACTGTTCTCACGAGTTCGCAAGCAATTCTCATTGTCTGGTCGAAGAGGGCTGGAAAGTATGAGTACAGTGTAACGACTGCAAATTTTTTGGTTAGTGGATGTCAATTTTAATTTTAATTAGCAATCTAATAATCATAGTGTCTTCATTGTACATCGTTTTATAGGTAGGTTCTGGAACATACCAATGATTTTCTTCTCTGTAATTAGGTAGAAGCTTTGAAATGTGCTCTATCACTTGCAGCCTTAACAAGAATATGGAGGAATGAAGGTGTTACTGAGGATAACAGGTCATTCTTTTTCTTCCCCTAGTTCCACATTTATCTATTATTAGGTAATAAATGGACTATAGATGCCTTGTATTTTGCACGTATATTTTTATTTTTAGTTGAAAAGGAGTTCTGGACAACATTTTTTCCCTTTTCTTCTATACGATACCTCTCGAGCACAAGAGAAGAAAGAGAAATTTTAGCAGAATCTAAAACTTGGAAGGTACTACCTCCATTACATAAGCAAGGATGAACAAAATCAAAAGCAAATGTAGTCAGTTCTGGACAAACATGGTCCTAATAAAAGTTGATATATTCTAGTGTTTGCAACAGCCATAATGCCATCTTCCAGATCTCAGTTGTGATTTTTCTTGACAACTTTGACAGACAGTTAACAATTTTGTGTATGTTAAAATTTTTGCATCGGACCCTTAGAACTTTTGAAATGTGATATCCACAATAACATCTTCTGTTAGATGGAATATTGCTTTTAATTGTTTGAACTTGTCTAACTTCTACAAGAGTTGCCATTTCATTGTTTTCAACTCCACATCTAACTGAATGATGTCCTTTGTTTCCCATTCTCAAACTCTTGTGCTTGCTATTAGGTTGAGTACTTCATGGGATGAAGTTAATGTTTACCCCATTCCTGCAGCTCTGTATCTCATCAAGAATCTACTTCAGGTAGGTTTTTGAGTCCTGAATATTCTGAATTCCTTTGGATTTTTATCTTGGTTGCAGTACTGTTTTCTGAATTTGTCTGTTTGTGGCAGTATTACATCTTTGCATATGTAGATGCCCCTGGATATCAAATATTGAAGAATTTAAACATTATCAGCACAGGCATTTTATACCGTATCATTCTTAAGAAACAGTAAGTCATTCCACAATTTAGAGGGATTTAATTTGAACTTCAAACAAAGAAAGGCTCCACATATAATTACTATATGCATTCAATGGATTTTAACTTGTACAAATGTGGAAATAGTTAGGTTGACACTTGTGGATGAGAAGGTGGTAAAGGAAGGATGACAAAGACTACATAACAAAAAAATGATTAAACATAATTGTATTTTTTTTTTTTTTCCAGGTTGAGCGAGATCCAATGGGCAGCTTTCATTTTGTTGTGTGCGGGATGCACCACAGCACAACTAAACTCTAAGTAAGAATGAGTGGTTGTGTAATAATCTTGTTGTCTCTCAGTGTAGTTTTAGAATTGTCATCATATTCTCATTTGTGAATCCTGACCATATATTTTTTTTCCTTGTACCTGCCGAATGACATTTTCTTCCCAGTTCCGACCGAGTTCTGCAAACTCCTTTTCAAGGTTGGGTGATGGCAATTGTGAGTTGCTGAACTGAAAATCTTATGGCACAATCTAATCTTGTGATAAGCCTATAATTACTCGTCGAAAAAAAGATCCCTTTTACTTGAGGATTTCTAGAAGTTGACACTTCAAATTACTCTTGAAATCAATTTTAGGTCATGGCCCTTCTGAGCGGTTTTGCTGGAGTCTACACTGAGGTAAATCTTTCCCTACTATCTTTGGAAGTATGATTTATACCGAAAAAAGGATAAAAAATAAAATTAAAATCAGTCAATAAAATTTCTCGGCCAATATTGTCCCATTCGATTCATCTTACTTTTAAGCTAACAAATACCTTTATTAGAATTCTTATCAAGATCTTTTTTATACTTCAATATTGTAAGGTGTCAAGATAAACTGGACCCAGCTTGAAGTGTTTTTGATAACTGATGTGTTTTCTGCTGTCTCTCTAGGCTATCATTAAAAAGCGACCTTCGAGGAATATTAATGTGCAGAACTTCTGGTTGTATGTATTTGGGATGGCTTTTAATGCTATAGCCATACTGGTTCAAGATTTTGATGCGGTCATGAACAAGTAAATTCATATTGCTTTGCTTTTGTTGTTTCTCTCATTTATGCTTGAGAGTGCTTTTTGCTTCACTTACTTATGTCAACAATACAAGAGGATTGATGACTTGTAATGAAATATTTTCACCCTACTTTTAACTTCTTAAGTGAGCAGACTCAGGGTGTGTTTGAGCCACATTATTTTGAAAGAATGTATTTTAGAATAGTAGATTGATGGAGAATGTGTGGTTAAAAAATGAAGAAATTTTTTTGGATTTGCATGTAATATTATTTTATTGAAAAATGTGTTGTTGAAATGATATCAAATCACTGTTTAAGAATATATTTTTTTGAAAGAATGCGGCTCAAACAGGGCCTCAATTTGTAATGTAATATTTTCATCAAATTGACAACATCAAGATTAGAGTTTGATATGCTAGATTCATGATTCTACAATTTTATACATGATATATAAGTTACTCTTTTGCTCCACAGGGGATTCTTCCATGGATATTCTTTGGTTACAGTTCTCATGATTTTGAATCATGCTCTGAGGTACTTATATCCTTTAATGTTGTCTTGGATTGACTTGCCTAAATGTTATAATATTGATAATCATCAGTTATGGGGCCAAAAATAAAATTATTACTCTTTGGATAAATCTAGGCTTGTCCTGGGAACCTCTAGTTTTCTCACACAAAAATAAAGAGTTCTAGTTTTAGAAATGAACTTCTATGTGATTTCGGCCTCTCCATGGAAAGGCTTGTGCATTTTTCTATTAATGTGTTCTCCTGAATTATTCATATTTTTGCTCATTTGTTTGTATTATTACTTTTTTATACGTGGTGTTATGTCTTTGGAGGTTAATTAGGATTAGTATAAACCTGCTGCTGTTTGGTGCGTTGAGCTAAACCCCTACATCAGTTAACGGTAAACGAGAAGGGCCTTAGTTCGCAGTTGAATGACTAGACTATGTACTGGGGATGATGAGCTGGACATAGACCTAACTTTGGGTGCAATTTTCTGATTTTCATCGTTATTTACATGCCTTACATAATTATTCCCTGAATTATGAAATATCTACAGTTAATTTTGTTTCTTTGAATTGAGTTATTGGTAACTGACCTAAGTTATATTGTGATGTTAACTACACGTGATTTCAGGTTGATTAACCCTTTTGTTTCTTCTATTACTATAATCTCCATATTAATATTTTCCTTGACAGTATGTGTTAATGGAAAACGTTTATGTATTCATATTTTTTTTTCTTAAAGAGATTTTTGTGAACTAATACACTTGATGTCAACGCAGTGGTATTGCAGTATCAATGGTCATGAAGTATGCTGACAACATTGTGAAGGTAAAGACTATTTATATTGTATCTGATGGAACTTGTGCATTTTTTCCAAGTATGCATCAGTTTATTAGCTTAGTCTTGGGTGTTGATTTGTACTCCTGCTGGGTGGACCATGGGCCAATTCTTATGGGGACAGATTTAGAGTATGTTTCGGAAGTGTTTATAAATACTTTTGGTAAAACCATTTTTTATCCACACATTTCATAGGACACACAAGTACTACTCACTTTTCTATTACTCGTTTTTATCTATTTATAAATACTTCTCAAACATACTATTAATATGCAATAAAAATTACCATGAAGTTGTCATACAGATCAAACGTCAAGGATGTGAATGAGATATTTTTAAATGCATGGTGTGGCTGCTGGGAAGTCAATACAGTACACGTGTTTGAAGAAATACATTAAAACCTACCAGTTATACAAATTTGTTAGGAAACCATAGATCCTTCTCATGTTGCCACCACAGCCGGAGGCACCTAGTCTTTATCTTTTCTTGCAGTACTCTTACATTGAACAAACCATGCAAGTAACAACCAGCTGCATGGAGCAAAAGTAATAGAATAAAACGTTTACAAAGTCTTACAATGTTTCTCGCCAAGTTCAGCTTCACCAAGCACTTGATGAAAGTTGTAGAGTTCCAGCTGAATGTGTTGAATGGAAGAAATAAGGAGAGAATTCCTAAACAGCTGATTGGTCCAGCCCATTGATTTCTTTCTTTCACCTATCTGCCCATTAGTGGTCTCAACTCCAGTAAACAATAAGACTGTAACAACAACAAAGTGTTGTATCGAATAAACTCAGGGTCGACAAACAGTAGAACTTGGACCAAAACGAAAATGAGAAAGAAAAAGCCGTATTAACATTGTCAAACAAGCATATTATTATTATTTTTTCAAAAAAAAAAGGCCTATTTCTGATGCGGAGTCCTGGTATGTTGATTTGCTGTATGCGGCCTTGAGCCAGCAGAAGTGGTTTAAAGAAATGTAATCAAAATGGACGATAAATTAGAAATGTTTATTATGGTTTGCATCACTATTGCAGGTGTATTCTACATCAGTTGCAATGCTGCTGACAGCAGTGTTATCTGTTTTCCTCTTTGGATTTCATTTATCCCTTGCCTTCTTTCTTGGTTCCACGTGAGTATTTATGCTTAAATTTCACTTCAGTCAACATTCGCACGCTAAGTCACGCATGCTTTTGGAACATGAATGAATGAATTCAAAATGTCTGACTAACGTAATTCTGCCTTCAGTGTTGTCTCCGTCGCAGTATATTTGCACTCCATTGGGAAGCTCCAGAGATAGTGAATCTTATAGTTTCAGCCATGTTTGAGTTGTCTTTGCAAATGCTGATGATTTTTCTTCTTTTTTTTTCTTTTTTTTTTTTCTTTTCATTATTTGTTTCTGTATCCTTCATCAATTTTACAGATAAAAATCTTGAGTTATGCTATACGTCCAGGGCCCATGTGGCCCTGGACATGGCCCTGGACAAGAAGTTTTTTCCAAAAATCTTATCCCGACGTTGGGTAGCGTATAACCTTGACGGTGTATTTTCCTTTTTATTGAAAATTCAGCAACGATGAAAAGGAAAATTCGTGGTTGAAGGAGATAATATGGTTGGCGGTAGAAGGTCAATGTTAAATGTATGTTTGGCAAATTTTTCTTTCTTTAGGCATTGTGCATTACTAGCCCTTGCAATTAACCTGATCATCTTGCTCAAATGGCAAATATTTTATTCCACGGCAGTTTCATCACTCCATTAGCTCCTGTCTAAACTTGACATCATAATTGTACTAGAACCTTAAAATGATACACGTGTCTTCCTAATTCCAAGATTTTGCAGCCACGATATCATCAGGTGGCGTGTTTGCCTAAGTTGGGATGGCAATTTTAGTCAAAAAAACTGTTAAAAGTGACTATTATTGAAGTTGAGCGATCTGATTGTTACTGGCCCAAAATAATTGAATGTGTAATCCCTAGTGAAAGGGAGAGAGAGATCTACAAATGCTAGTACAGCTTACAATATTACCACCTTCATAAATAGAAGTTGGACCAATCTATATAGCCTCCGCAGGTGATCGCAAGGTTGACATAATATACACACATGGGGGGTCGAGATTATTTTATTCATGGGAAATCCATATCGGTCATGTGAGGGTGCGGAAACGGCGCGGATTGTTTGGCTTTTTCCGTAGAAGTGTCAAAATGTGTAACTGTGACCCCGAGACAATATCAATTCACTGTGTTTAGAGTTCTCCAATGTGAACACAACATGTTGTGATGTTGACAGAATATGCCGTTAGCCCAAAATTTCGCTATACTTGAAAACACAATCTCAAAGCCTGCCCCTCAAGGAATTGTGCAACTTCCGGGTGCTTCACCTGAAACGAGAGAAGAAAAAAATTGATTATTTCATCGACTGATGACACATCGGAGGAAGAGTGGGAAATGAAGCTATATTAAGCTGCTGTTTGATAATAATTATTTGAAAAAAAAATAATGTTTTATTGTTTTGAATAATGACTTTGTGTAGGATATGTAATTAAAAAGTATGAAAAAAAATTTGAGTTTATATACAAAATATTTTATTGTGTGAATGTTTAGTTGAAAATAAATTTATAAAAAAATGTTTTCAAATAATAACCATCAAACATGGGCTAAATGATTACCATGCCAATGTTCAAGGAATCATATTTAAACCTTGTATGACATTCATTTTCTTTTTGTAAAATGAATCTTTGAATAGTAGATTTTTGAAGAATTTGTCGTTAAAAAAAATGGATTTACATGAATATTATTTTATTGTAAGAATGCATGCTTAAAAATGAGTATGAAAAAAGTTTTGAAATGATGACCGTCAATCAGGGGCTAGATTGAGCAACAAGGTTAGTCTCGATTCCACGGCCCTGCACAAAATTTGAAGAGCATAATTTGAAATTACGACAAAGTCTATTATCCTGTTACTTCTTGACATGGTTTCAACACGCCACAGAATCATTGATACAGACGTGATAGACAAAGAAAATTAATAACCATAGTTGGGATACTTGACACATCTGATTCTAAGTGTTACTAGATCTACACCATTTTTTATTTTTATTTTTTTGATATCCATGTATCCACCTTACAGTGATTAAATCCTGGAGTCTACATATTGGCTCCTCAAGCAGCAGACGGGTTAAACCGCAAGTTGTGCCCCTCTTGATTTCACATTGATTGGTTTTAAAGAACATAACATACCGATATTTGATCTGAATACCTTCATTTTTTGCCTTTGTTTCTAATCAACTTATAACTGCATTTGTGTTTAGTTGGATTTTGACAAAGAGGGGTGCCATAATCAATTAAACTAGCTAGATAGTTGAAACACGTGCCAAAAGTTTTGAGTTTGAGCGCAAAATATATTATTATGTAAATGTGTGATTGAAAATGAGTTTGAGAAAAAAATTGATTTAAGGGATGTCAAACATGGACTAAATCAGGTAACTAATTAGTCACGTGATTTCGTTAATTGATTTTATTTAATTTTGTACATTGATGCGTTAAAGATTATTAGCCTTTGTTACTATCAGTTCATATAGATTTTTAGAGACTTTATGAAAATATATTTACAAAGTGATATTTTTTCAGGATGTGTAGTTAAAAAAAAAATGTAATCTAACATCAGTTTAAGTGGTGTCAAGGGTGGATGGATGGGAGACCAGGTCTATCCTTAGCCCAGACTTGCCCCCAAGCTCAATTTCATTTTTTAAGGTAAAAAAGAACAATTGTACTACATATACATAATTATTTATATATACATGATGTGATGAGATATAATTGGATCATAAATTTTACAACTAAATAAAAAATCACTACTCACTTTTTGACACATCACCTGTATATAAATCATTATATAACTCTATTGTGTACAAGTAGTATTATTCAAAAAAGAAATTTTATGTGGAATATTAGTTTAGTAGAAAAAAGTCGTCCTCACTATGTATGATTGTGATAAGTTCAATGATAGGTAGATTAAAGTGGCTCGTTCAATTGGGAGTGAACATAATTCTATTTGAATCTAGTTTCAGGATAATTGAATGAGCCATGAACCAATTGTATTTTTTTGTAATGGAACCAAATGAAAATTTTGTTTTAAGTAATGGAACCGAACCATTTGGTTATGCTTTGCATTGGTTTTAGTTCCACTACTGACTGAGAAAAAAGAGAAAGAACATTTGAAGAAGAACCAAAAGTTGATGTTTCAATTTCAAAAATCGATGCGATGGTGGTGGTTGAGTGAAATGGTAGACAGCGAGAGTTAGTTGTTGGTCTCCATATGAGAGTCGGTGTATAAATTGAAAATGAGAAATGAATTAGGGTCTAGGCCTCCAAAATGAATTAGGGTCTACAATCTCCACATTGAGAAACAAGAAATTAAAGGTACATAATGTTTTTATTCTAATTTTCAATTAAATGTTGATTCTTTTTAGTGTAAATTGTGATTAACTAAGTTTAGTTCTTGGTTCTAGAATTAGAATCGAATTAGAATCAGTATCAAATGGTTCTCATTTCCAACTTTTAAGAACTGGAATCATTAATTTATTTTTTTCATAAAATCAAACTTGAACAATTTGGTTTGGTTTGGTCATTTTGTCCACCCCAAATATTAATTCTACATATTATTTAGTGACACTTAATCCATATAGATCGGTGTTATAAAGGGTACATCTATAAGAAGACGACGACTTATGGTACCAAGGGCGATGTCAAGGTTACTGAGGACAAAATCAAGAAAGGCAAAGTCGAGCCAGTCAATTCTGGTGTCGATATAATTAATCTAACAATGTTTTAACTTCATCGTCCAAATTTATTGGATATCAAAATCCAATAATATGATTGAAAAATGAATTTTAGAAAATAAGAATCAAATAGAGACTAAAATACATAATTTGGCTTTAAAATCTTGATCAAAATTAATTTATTGATTATAAAAGAATTGAAAACAATAAAGGGAAGGTGAGAATGATCGATGAAACACAAATTAACTATATGTACTATTTATGTTGTAAGAATAAAGCTAATTGTACAGTTATTGTTGAAAATATTGATATTGTTAAAATTTGGACCATTGATTTAAAAAATAGTTTTTAAAATAGATGAATATGATATTGCTAAGTATGTGTTGTTAACTAAGAATGTAAATAAATATTGTTTAAGTAGCATGATTGATGTCGTAAAGTCTGAAATCTTAAAGCTCTAGTAATGTGGGGTTCTGAAAAGCATAATTTTAGAGTCAAAAATCGATGTATTGTGACAAATTAAACATGGACCCACACGTCTATTATAATACAATTATCGAAATATATCAATCTCAATGACCATAATAAAAATATCGAGATCAACAGGTGGTAATAAATATGGACATTTATATTTCACATTCTGTTCATATGTACCACATATCAATGCGAAACACCGGCTCCAAGTTGTGACTTGAATTGATTTCATACACTCAATTTTCATGTTTCCAAGCCCAACCGCTCTATAAATATAATTGAGCAAACATCAAATCGTTATTTCCGATTAGACATGTTGGGCCCAAATAAAATGACTTTTTGCATCTTGTACATATATTTCTTGCTTTGGGCATTGATTTTTTCAACGTCTATGTATATAATTTATTAAAATAAAAAAATAAAAAAATCTTGTTAATTATATGATAAAAAAAATTTTGAAATAAAATATTGTTTATTGCAAGATGTAAAACGTTTTTACTGTGCCATAACGATTGATATGAATTAGACACAAAAGTTGAATAAATTAACCAAAATAAGCGGTACTAGTTACTTAAGGTATACGATTAAGACTTACTGTTCAATTCAACTCTTTTTTTTATCTCTAGTATAAATGAGTAACACAGTCGAAATTCATCTGCATCACGAGTTTCCACCCTGTTTGGACTTCGTTAAAATGAGATTTTTAGAGAAAATGCGTTTTGAAATAATTTTTTTTGGAGAATATATGATTAAAAAAAATTTAAAAAAAATTATGACATTACATATAACATTATTTTATAAGAGAATGTGATTAAAAATAAGTTTAAAAAAATATATTTTTTTGTAAAAATGAGCCCAAGTAGGGGCTCTTTTTTAACCATGTGAACAGGATGCCTCGAAAATACATTATTTAGTTCAAAAGTCCAAACAAGGTTGAAGCAATCGAACCACTCAAAGCCGTTGAGGACCACATGCCGGTCAATTAATCAATCATAAAAATCCACGTGAATACCATGTTAAGAGCATCTTTTTCTTTCAAGAATCTTTAAATTTCAGAAATGCCCATGAAGTTTATGATAATTACAGACACATCCCTTCTCTTTTTAAAATTCCAAAAACATCTTTTGATATAAATTTTCCATTTTGTCCTCAAATAAAATCTTGCTTTCTTATTTGATTTTTCCTCTTTCTTTGTATAAAGTTATCTATATTTTTATCCATATTGATTTATCATTTAATGGGCAAACTAAAATTTATCAAACATATTTAATAAAAAGTTGAACTAAAAAGAATCTAAGACAAGATATTTAAACCTTCTGATGCCAATGTTTTTTGCATTTTTAATACTTTGATAGCGTTACTTTAATTTTAAAAATTAGTATAGTGTAAATGTACAGAGTATAA